ACATATTTTTCAGGCTGAAACCCACCCACTTGTGGCTGTCACCGTCCTGTTCGCCGGCGATTTGTTCATCAACCGGTCACCTCACGCGCGAACAACCCGCGCTCGGTCGACCGATGTGCTGTGCTGGACGCTCAACCCGTTCGGTTTTGCTGGCCGCTGTCGCCGACGTGCAGAGGCCAAGCCAACGTTTGTGCTGCCGGCCCTCTCAGCCAGGCCGGCGTTGTTTCACCCGGCACTGGGTGCGGCGTTTCAGCGGCGTTTCGGTCGTTCGAAGACTAGAGTCCGTGCGCGACACCGCGACACCCAGGTATTTTCTGGACTGAAATCCATGGAAGATGACACAAAGGCATATATTAAAGCAATGTAAACATGCCAGTCCCATGGAGTATCCATCGAGTGTATGGTTGTGATTGGTTGCTTTTGGAGATGTGGTAGCTGCTCCGGCTGCTCCATTCATGAAGAATGTGATTCCAGAGACATTTGATTGGTCTATACCCACCAACCGTTGATGTGTTGTTTTTTCTTTTAAGGTTTTTTGGTACACCTTATTTTCTTTATGGTCGTGGAAGGGGGCGTAGACAACCCAGTCGTTTTCGTCTTTATCCACAGGTGAAGCGCCGACCTCTGCTGAAAGTAGAGGCGCGGATGGCAGATGAGGAATCCAGAATGCACATCTCTTGAAAGAGAAGTTGCTATTATGATCTATAATGTATTATAATATATATATATTTTGAACACCAATGGAGTTCTTCTTTCTGCAGGAAAGAGGATTTCCGCTCAATTCTTATTTAAGGGCTGACGCCCGACAGCCGGCAAGGGGCCCACCACTGGTTGTCGTTGTTGTCGTTGTCGTTGTTGGTGTTGTTGTTGTTGTCGTTGTTGTTGCTGCAGATGGTTGCATGTTGTTGCAGAGCAGATGGTAGTGGTTGTTGTGGTTGCGGTCGTGGTTGATGGGCGGATGCAGGTTATGCACGCCGGTGCTGCACGCATTTCTAGCAATATGCGCCCGCGTTGGCATTGTGTTGGAGCTATGTTGGGGGTATGTTGAGCCTATTACTGTATGTTGACATACTCTTCAGATGCGACTTTTTCCGCCCCGGACCCCCTCTCCAAGGCCCAAACCCTCAACACTGTAAAACACGGCGCTTGTCTCACCCCTGGGTCGGCCGGGTCCGCGGCAGGGGGTTCAGCCCCTCTCTTTTGTTCGGAGAGGAGAGAACCCTTCGGGAGGACACGGCCAGGGGCCCCTGGCCGGATTGTGTTTCGCTCGAAAGCATATAGATTTCATATATACGCAAGGCAGGTCGCACAGACATAAGATGATAAGAGCTCCAAGAAAGATCTAGTATAGTCTTGAGGGATCCCCCAATGAAGGGGAATGTCTCATCGAAGAACATCATCTCTATAGAAAGCCGTGCAATACCAAGTCTACCATGTCTTGAACAACTGTTTGGCGCAGTGCAGTTGCGAACTGAAACCATGGTCGGTCCCGGCGGCCGTGCGGCTGACGGTCCCGGAGGGATCCAGCAAGTGGACATGCACCAAATCTGGCTGAAGTAAACCGAGTCTTGCGAGCCGCCGGAATCCAAGTCACATCACAAACCATCACAAACCGATGCATCACCAGAGCACGGGAAAGAGCGAATCTGTGAAAACCCAATTTCGTTGCCATGCATCCCAGACCATTTGCATGGGAGTATTTTCCTACATTGACCCTAGATATCTTCAAATCATTTCAAGGTAGGCAACTATTCCAGTCCCATCGATTCGCTGCTATTTGCCACTTAGTAGTTATGGCCTTCCTATCCTGCCGAACGTCGGGTGTTCACGGCCTGGCGTTCGGGTGCCTGGCGTTCGGTGATCGCGTGGGTAATGGTCCAGTCGTTCAAGCACTTGGCTGAGCTCAAGCACTTGCACCACCCAGGAACCTCCAGGAACCGAATGCTTATTGGACAATATCTATCGGAAAAAAAACGGGGGTCTGTAGACCACCCAAAGGTTTGGGTTGTTGAAACACTGTGTTCATTTTATTAACACCAGGCTTGCCTGAGCTATAGCTCATACCCAGATGCCCTCAAGTGTTTATGGGTTTGTGTGCTCAGGGTGCTCCGGCCAGGCATTTGCAACATCAAAAGAGCGACAGGTTTCCCGATCAATGTTATTTTGTCCTCGTTTCAAGTTTTGTCTACTGTATGTTTTTGAGCTGTCACAAGCCATGCTTTGCGAAGAAACATGATCCTCGACATCCATGTGATGTATTGGAAGTTGCATTCGTGATATTCGAGGTTTTTGATGGATCATGTAGTTTCTGGGGTTGATAGTATACTAATTCCATTGATCACTCAACTTGTTAGACTACAGTTGCTTGTGCCTGAGATCATGATCCTGTTTCCTTTCTTGGCAGGCACCATTTTCCTGCTGATCTGGCATGTAGTCGTTTTTGTTGGTATTGTGATTCAGACCCAGACTCCAAGCCAAGCGCCGAAAAGCGGCAACGCTTGGAATTTTCTCGATTGGAATCCAAAGCAGTTTGATTCCAGTGCAGTCGAGACGGAGCAGTTTCAAAAGGACTGGCGTCTGACTCAGCAGGACGCTATACTCGTCGTGATCTATACGTTCGACTTGATGCACAGGTCGCTTGTTATTGCCCCAGGTCGCTGACAATCCTTGACCATTTCGTTCCACTGGCAAGCCTTCAGTTAAGGCTGGAGCAAAACCCAGCACGATGGTGATGTAGCATGCCAGTAGTGTCATTGGAACACCCCCCCTGTTCTCATGCCGAGTGCGAACGAAAAACCTTTCCTAATTAATGGGACCTTTCCTGGCCGCGAAGTTTGTTCGACCCGTTTCCACCCAGCCACCTTCTTTGACAGGCATCCAGTGTCAGCACCAAAACTTGGCCCCAAGTCGTATCGCACCATGTCGGACGGGCCATTTGGAGCTCGCGGCTGCGCGCGCGCGCGCGCGCTGTTGCACCGCATGTTTTTGGGCTCGAAAGTTCTCTTCTCCACGTCGCGAGGCTGAGGTTTTTCGAGGTCTTGACGTAGGTTCGGTTCGTACCTTCGTGTTCTTCCTACCGGGCCCCCTGTATGCATTCTCGCGCCTAGATATAGGTACAAACGAAACCATCGTACTGGCCGCGTTGTTCAGCGTCTTCGCGTTTAGAACAAAAAAACCATCAAACAACTGGCAATTTGCCCTTGTTGGGTGCCCCAAACCTGCGTGTTTGGGCCGGAACGGCCGTGTCCCAAACCTGCCTTCAGCAAAAGTTGTGTTTGTACATCGATATGTTTGTCTTCTTTAGCAGACCACGATGGTTGTAAACAAAAAAACAGCAGGACAAGACACAGCAACCAACCAAAACAACAGCACGTGCTTTATATAAAGTTGCTACTTCTCGGACCTTCATGGGGGGGCAAATGTACATTGAACAAAAGTACATCATGCTATAAAATTGAAGCTTCGATCAGAGACACGGGGGGGCCGTACGGACGTAGGCACCTAAAAGCCTTAGAAAAGAAAGAAAGAAAAACAGAAAGAGCAGCGCTAAAAGGGCAGGAGAGTAAGGTGTAGCAAAAAGTGAATACTTAGCCCTTGACTGGGGTAGGGAAACGAGCCTCAAGAACGACCTAAAAAGCCTGAGAGAAAGCCCAAAAAACGATGGAAAGCGTAAGAAAGAAAGTGGGGGGCAGGGAGGGGATGTATGCAGCATGTGTGTGTGTGTGTGTCCGTGTGTGTGTATGACTACCTAGCACTCTAGAGTTACTGACTACTTAGCAGAAGTGAATTTGGTGCAATAGTTACGGAGCGGGAGTAGACTAGAAAGGGACAACAGAGGGAAAGGCACCGACGCACAAGTGTGTCGAGTACCATTTCCCTCTGTTACCTTAATTAGAGGGGGGGGGGTTGGGGTGTGTGGGTAGAGAACGCGTTTGGGTTTTGTCTCCGTGAGCCCGGCGGCTTTGGTTTTGGGAATACAGTGGTGAAAAGAAAGGCTGTTAAGATAATCCAACGTGTGCAGAAAACCGCTGAATCAGTTAAATGTCGTTCCGGAGTGAAGGCAGCGCCCCAGTGACGGGGATCACACCCTGTACCCAAAGTGGGACGGCAGAGCGGCACACACTCTGACATTGGGTTTTCAGTTAACTCAGTTCCCAAGTCGAAGAAAGGTGATGCAACAGAAAGGCGAAGAGTCCAAGCACTTGTAGGTGTTTTAACAAATGAGTTTCTCTCATCTGCGGAAAACTGTGGTAGTGCAGCAGCAGCTCACGAACGGTGGAAAGCGGCGGAGGGAAACCTGTTTGTGGGGAGTAGCATGAAACCACCATGGAACCAAAAGGTGACAGAGTGGAGTAACGGCGTGTGCAAAAGTTCTTTCCGCAGGTACGTCACTGGATGTCTGCAGCGATATCAGTACCGCCACAGAAGCCTCTTCGTTGGACTGTCACTTCTGGTAGACAGCCCCCCTGCATGTAGAAAACTCTTGGACACAGAGTGTGACACACACACACACACGGTCGAATCATCCGATTTAATCACATGTTCAATGACGAGAGGCTTGACCAAACTATATATTTGTCTAATATTGTAGTGCACACAAAATGACTTCACGAAAAAACAGAATTGAATCCGTGAGTGAGTGAAACAACGACTGAATGAATGAACCAAAGATTCATTCGATTGACGAATGAATTAATGTATCACTCAATCAATCAATCCATCAAACAAACAATTAATCAATGAATCCATACTGCACATCAATCATTCAATAGTTTATAGTGACTGATACATAATATATATATATATAATAAGTTATATCCATATTATTTATGTATGTATATTGGGTCTGTCCTAATACCTGGAACAGACGGTATACAAGAATCAAGAACATCACCCTGCAACCTAACCATCTTCATCCACTGTTGATGGCATTTGTATTATATTGTGGGATATATAATATATATACATCCCATTCTGCCGCCCTTTTCGGTCCAAAACACAGACGGCCCTGGAAGAACTCATCCGAGGCGCAGAGAACGGTTCCAAGAACGCCTAAAACAAACTCGAAAAAAACCACTGGGAACCCAGGTTTACTTTCGGATGTTTGCTGGTTTTGCTTGTGTAGGTGTTTTTGTTGTTTGTGTTTTTTTCCATCTCCCCGGCTTGAACCTTTGGGTATGTGCAAAACTACACCGGGAACTCCACGGGATCTGAATCACCGGACGTCCCTGGATCCACGCTCTCCAGGCCTCCTGCGATGCTCTCCGTCGCGAATTATTTGAAGCGCCTTGGCTTCAGCGCGATGCACCGGTGGGGTCCGGTGCACCTTCCTCAGATGTGGTGTGCACCGGACCATGCACAGCCCACGGGTCACACGGGTCACTGTTTTTGGGCCGGTTTGTGATCCGACTCCTGACCATGAAGAGTGGACAAGGACATACAAGGACTGTATGTTCAACCTCTTAGCATCCCAAACGATTCCTTTGTGCATATGGGTTTGTCTCAAACAAGCTGACCACCCAGAATTCCTCATCTACTTCTCTCATCTCATGTGTTTTCAGGGCTCTTATATATAGTGCTCACACCCCATGCAAGCCTCCAGATATAGTATCACCAACGTATGTATGGCATGGCTCGATCTTGTGAATCGCACGATTCATCATGATCCTGCTACTTTGGGATGTTACAGGCGTGTGGCGGTTCTCCTGGTTCTGGGATGAACCGACTCGACGACAAACTGACACATCAGTTCTTCATCGGTTCTTCACATGGGTTCAGCAAACGGGCACCATGATCCCCAGCTATCAGGACATATATATATATATATATGCGTCGCTGGATCCTGTAAACAGGGCACTCTTTGACCGACTTCCAATCAAGACGTTCCAGATGTGAACGGTCATGCGCAGATGTAAAGAGGCACCCTAGGATGGCTACATGACCTTGTTTTGGCCACCACCAAGCATGCTCTACTCCAAGTTGGGATACATCCACATATGTCCACAACTTGGCTAGGGACTAACGACCTTCATGTCGTGACTTGCTTGACATATATGTGTCACAATACACCTAGAACTAGAACTACTTAGTGAGCACATTGTTTGTTTGCCTATTATGCATGGGTAAAGGGCTTGCAGGCTTGCAGCAATGACATGGCCAGTACACTACTAGGGGCTCCTGGCCTTACTGGTCCTTAGTCGTCCTGGCTTGTTCGATCCGAACTGCTCCCCAGCAGATCCCGCCACTTCCCAGGAAGCCTCGCCGTGGTGAGCCCCCCCCCAAGCGATGTGGAGCCAGGGTCGCCGGCCGTGGTCGGCTCCGGCATTGTGCAGGGTAGCCGAGAGAGGGAACCCACTCTCCAAGCTTCGGAAGAAGGCATGTATGTGCCATGGGAATAGGTATGGGGGCGGGGACATGTGGTTGAAGGCTTTGTGGTAATCACTCTCAATGGCCATAAAGGGGTGGACATGTGGTTCAAGGTGATTGGAATGATTGCCGAACCTTCTGGTCAGCCAGATTCAGATGGTTAGTGTGTTTGTGGCTAAGCCAATCAGGCCCGATCAAGTGATGTGCGAAAGCGAAGATGTCGATCAGTTGAGTGAGTGAACAAGTAAAAGAGAATCGAAGGGCTGCGACGCTGCAGTGCCGCTTTTTGCCATTTCACTGCCCACCTTTTCAAGCTGTTGGAAGAATCTTGAGACCAACAACGAGGAGATGACGAGATCTGCGATGGTGCACAACGCGAGTCGTGCACTGCATGTCGTTTCAGTACCGAAAGTCCCAAAACGTCTCGTCGCACCGAGGCAATGCCTAAGAGTGAAGGGCTTTTGCGTCATCAACAATGCTGTGAGTGAGCAGCCAACCCGGCTTGTCTTATTTGGGGGGAAGGACAATGTCACAATGTGCAATGTGAGTGCGTTTGAGATATTTTTTCAGCTGCATAGTAGGTCCAATAGATGAATTGTTGGATGAGTGTCGGCCGTGGAGCTGGTTACGGCCGTGGATGTTGCTTCAAAGCTGGGACCCCCAAGCAATGGGCATGCAATGAGTAGCTGCTTGCTTGACATTTTTGCAAAAAAGAGCAGGGACTACTGGTTTTGCTGGACAAGTGCTGACAAGCAACTGTGACAACCAATCAGTTTGAATGACTGAAATGCTTCATCCATAGTCACCCTTTCAGACGGGGCACACTTGCACACCTTCTCTTGACCCTTTCTCTTTGAGACGCCATGAACGTCTCATACGGGCTACCTCGCGACAGGATGCTGCAGACAGCCAGTGCTGAACTGGGGTCGCAGGAATGGTATCAGCCAGCGGTGCTGATCCAGGACCTGCGATGGAATCGAAGTCCCACATGAGAACAACCAATATGCTCGGAATGTTCACTGTTCATGCTGCCGCTTAGGCCTGTGTGATCCAAACATAACTAACCAATGAAGCAGCTATACATTTGTTTGAAGAGACACAGAAAACGCCAAAACACATTTCCATACATTTCCAGTTTCTTTCCTGGTGAAGCCACACCAAAATAGAAGATCGATGACCAAGCACTCGGTTATTTGCTGAGTTTGCCTTTGGGGTCACTCTAAGAGTTTGCTCCTTTTTAGGGGAAGGCGGGAAAACATCAGCGCAAACTATGCGCTTCCGTTCGCGGCTTCCATTTGCTTCTCGTCCCAAGTCGCCGTCAGCCCCAGGGAACTCAGACGCCAACTTGGCCCCCAGACTTCCGCCAGACCCTATCACCATCTATCACCCTCTAGCACCCCCAGACAGTCCTCCCGACTCGAGCTGCGCCTTGCGCCTCGTCTTCGCTGCGCCAGGAGGGTCTCCTGGGGGTTGAGGGGTCCAACCGCATCTGCCGAATGGCCTCAATCGACTTCCCAGATCAAGCCACCGATCAGTTCCAGGCGGGGTTTTTCGGGGTCCCGGGTGAGACCGTCTCACCGAAGCGTCTCGCCGCGGGGGTGGTGGAGACGTGAGGTGGAAGGAAGTGAAGCGAAGCTTAGCTCCGGACTGGGGTCACCAACTAGAAAGTTCCAAAAAGACAGTGCTTCAGTCCCATGTGAGTGTGGATGGCTCGTCATTCTTCACTTTGTCTTGGGTCGTATCCAAATGGGACGGGTCGGTGGTCAAAGACAAGAATCAGATGTTCAGCTTTGCCAAGGCCCATCACTGTACAGCGTTCGAGAAGATTTGGTAACAACATCATGCAGAAAAAACAAATTGTAACTAAGCTGTACCCCAATAGGCACCCCTTACAAACGTGGGATTGTCCACTTCCATGTTTGTTTCAGCCTTAAGGTGTTTTGATGTACTCATTGGTGTAGCCCATATCGTGATATTTTTTTTGTGATATATATAATATTATATATATATATCCATATTGTAATGTAGTAGTGATAGTGTCGTAGTACTATGTAATCATGTTCATATATGGAAGATGCTCCATTTCCCATACAAGCCGCAGCTCTCAGCTCGGCACATGTTTCACCGTTTTGACCGCCGCTTACAACCACGCTATGCGAGTTGTCGCAGGATGGTCTTGCTGGTATCGATTTTGCAATGTGGAAGCTTGCTGAAGCGCCGTGCCCGCACCAGAAGGGTCTCGTACAGCCGACCCCCTCAAGAAGATCTGACCCATCATGACCCCCATTCACACGTCAGGAGCATGTGACAAAGGTTAAAATTCCTGAAAAAAGACACTGCATTTGCTTAGCGTCCAGAATGCCTCCCTCCGCATTTGCTTGACGTGAAGGGCCGACTCGACTCTTCCTTCACACCGTCCTTCGATTCGTCTCGTGGCTCGTCGCCACCCGCCCGCCGCCTTGCCCGGGACGAGCGACACGGTCGCCTCGACCGGCATCTCTTAGGCCGTTGGCCCCTTTCAAGACGAGTTGGGCTTCCGGTGCTGTGGGCGAAGCATCGGCTTCCTGCATCAGGTCTCCGCGAGGGGTTTTGGGTCGGTCCTAGGACGTCCGGAACTGCGAGGCGCCGGTCAAGGGCAGGGTTTGAGAAGCAACGTGGAGCTCGCCATGGAACATGCGAAAAGGGCAGGGTCAGGATGAAAGGGCATGTCGTCATGGCACTTGGTGGGGCTGGTTTGAGAATGCAAAGTCAACACGGTCCGGCAGGCGAGCGATCCAGACTTAGAAGAAGCGGAGCTGACCGACCAAGAGGCCAGTGATTGGCCCGGCACCCCCAGTTGCGGACGAACTGGTGTGAACGAGGACAGCTGCTCCAAACGATTTTCCAAGCGGCTGGCTGAGCCAGTCAAACAGGTGGCCTTTTGCTGTTGATTGGTTGATAACAATTGATTCACAGAGGGAATACCTTGAAGCGGAACAACAACAGGTAGATGATGGTAGATTGTATACGTTTTCAAGAATGGATATGAGCAGCGGTCAAAAAACCTTATACATTGTTTAACGGTGGTATGGAAAATGGTTAGGATGTTGATTTTAAGTATTGGTTTAGTAGGGGGGCCCCAGCAGAATCATGCAAACGACCGTTGATTTTTTACTTGTCGTATATAGATGTGTTTATAATCAACATGATTCATTTGGTTTGGTTCATGAAATCCACCAGGACTCTACGTAGTGTGGTTGGGTTTGGTTTGGTGTAGCCACCAAACCCAACCACACAAGGACTACTAGGAGGGTAGCAACCACCAGCAACATGTAGCAACCACGTTGCAACCACCTTGGACCTTTGGGTAGGTGGGCTGCTGTCAAGCAGCACAACTACCCTCCTAGTAGGTTGCTACCACCCCCTCCGTAGGTTCCCCCAAAGCGGCAGAAACCCGAAGGGGGCAGCCAAAATTTCACATTGTCAATGGGAAACTAGACCCCCAAATTTTCTAGAGAAAAATTGTGGTTCATTTGCTCTATCAAAACAAATGTTCAAACCATTCATCCAAGCCAAATATCCTACGCACTCTATAGGACCACCAATCTTTTGTCCAAAGGTTTGCCTGAGCCTGGCCCTGACTGAGGAGCGCAATATTCACTAGCAGAAAGATCATGATCCTTGTGTTTTTGGGCCTGGGACCCAGTCTGACATGAGACTGCTGAAAAAGCCTGCTCAAGTTCGGCAGCAAATTCAGTGTCTGCTACAAGCGAAATCAAACAAAAAAGAATCAAGATAGAACCTGCCTAATAGACTGTACATGGCTACCCCAAAATCGAGCTGAGTCTTTTGCTACCCCAAAAGACGGCCGGCACGCCGCTTGAATCACGCTGTTCAACACCCGTGACGTACTGCCTCGTACTGCCAGGTCCAGGCAAAGGAACCCTAGAGATGCAACCCTATGACGATGAGCGGGGTGCCCGAGTCGCAGCGCGGCGAAGAAACGACCTTCGTTCGCTGGATCTCCACTTGGTTCAGTGCCAAGAACGTTCAGCACCTTGATATTCAATCGCCTTCCTCAGGTTCAATTTCCGGAAGCCATGCATGCAGCCATTGTTGCTGGTTTAAAAGAAAAAAAAACCTCTCAATCAATCTCTCCTCACATGCTTTGCTGTCGGTTGTGCTTCAAAACAAGCCCGCCCTGAAGAATACCACAAGCCGAGTTGTTTGACTAAGAAGGGACTCAGCAGGGTCGCACTGCCCTGATCGTGGTGGCCACCTGCCAATGCCAAACCAGGCCCATACCATCCCTGTACAGAAGTGCCGGTATTGTAGGATCATATTGATTCATATAGTATCAATGTATAGTCATGTCATGTCGACCTTAGGGTAGGTGCCCACATTTTCTCCCATCCACCCCAATCCATGTGTTGGCGCCAGGGCCAATGTATCCGAGATCACTACGGTGCCTGGCCTTGTCGTGGCCTGGCAAGACAGTGCCATCTCGGTGCCGAGCGCCACTGTCCAATGACGACTCGTCTTACTGGGGAGGCTCAAACACTTTGGCCTGTCCGAGTTTTGCCAATTACGTTCCTTCCGGGTGAAAAAAAAGCACTTCCGGCGTCATGTCGATCTTGTTTTCTTTTTGCGAACTTGATGATTATTTGGCAGCTGGCAGATTTTGGCAGGATTTGAGGAATTTGTTGCCAGCCTTACAAAGATGTGACATCCCACCACGGCTTGAAGTCGATACCTTCGCTTTGTCCAGGCGACTTCGACGCACGGACGCGCGGACATACGGCTGAGGTGGTTCTTCGAACCGACCAACTCTCCTTCAAGTTTTTCTGCAGAGGTCGAGAGGTCCGCGCGCGATCCTTTGAGGTCTGAGGTCTGAGGTCTGATGTTTTCGTGCTGAGAAGCTGCGTGTGTTTGACTCAGACTGTCTTGTGATAAAATCGGATGTGTTTCACCATGCTCGAACCGAAGCCTTCAAAGGGCGCTCTTCGCAACGACCGGTCCGCGGAGTCCGGTTTTGCTTCGGAGTAGTGGAGGCGACGCATGTGGCGAGCTCCTTTATGCTGCAAAACGATGTTTTGCGCATGCATCGCAACAAGTGGCCTGGTGGGAAACGCGTTATTGGATTCTGTTTCAAGTCCAAGAAACGGACGAACAAGAACGTACATGTCGAAGGAAGGGGTTTCAAGCGCCTTTTGTTCAATGGGTGATTTCACGCTGGATTTCCCAAGGGGGGGTTTTGTTTGGAAGTGTTTGGAGAGGCGGAGACGATTCATTGGGACTTGGGACTAAGTTTTAGACGACATCCCACAAGCAAAGTAGATGGCAATGGCCCCTCCTCCACTCCTGAAGGGCCTATTCTTGGTTCATCTTGGTTCAGATCACGAAAGCGAGCTCAGAAGGAGCTCAGCGGAAGTTGTTGTTTACGAAATATGGTGCGGCTCAAAATTGAATGGTTCAGTGAACTAATTTGATTCTTTCAATTAAAGGGAGGGGTTAGCCGAGGGGGGGGGCCCACCCCCTCCCTTTTTATTGATTCTTTCAATAACATCCCCTTCCCTCGCAAAGGAATTGATATTTCAATTGCAGATTGAAACGTCTAAGGGGGGGGGCAGCCCCCCCTGTAAAGTGAATTGAAAGAGGCTATTCGAGTCCTCCCTCGTCCTTGTGAGCAAGCATACCAAATGCCTAGAAAAGACAATATGAAAGTCGATGTGTTTTTTTAGTGTTCGGTTGACTCAGCCAACAACACTTTGAGCTCGTGGCACAAAAGCGTTGCGGTGCTGCCCTCCCTCCGCGTCCCCTTGATCCTTCCACACCCCTCGCTTTCGTCCCCACTGTCCTCAAGTATTTTCAGGTTCAAGTGAGCGAGTGAGTAAGTGAAAAATGGTGTTCCTGTGGCTGGTGCTATTTGTAAGCTAGGGTCTTGTTTGAACCAAACATGACCCTCTGGCTTTTGGGTCTTGCTAGGACCTTCCAAGAGGCAACATTACGGGCTTGTTTCTCACCAACCGTAACCCAAAAAGATCCTTGGAACAAACCACTATAGAAACCCGTGGACTGCATCCGCATAGGACCATTTGTGGAATGAATCACTCATTGCGTCCCCTTTTCCTTCCTGCCTGCCCTTGGCGAAGCGACCTCGCCGTCCTCGAACGCCTGCGAGCGGTCCGCGCCGGAGGGGCGAGAGGTCCGCGCGCTCGCTGCACATCACCCCAGGTTAGAAGCACATCTCACTCCTGCCGCACAAGAGTTAGACCAATGGATCGACCAGCGGCTCAGGGCTCCTTGGGCGGAAGAAGAGAGAAAGAGGGGGGTGCAGAGGGGAGAAGAAGGGCGCTGGCAGAGCACGGCTGGGCTTCTGGGTTTCGTGGAAGTAGAAGTGAATCCTGATGGGACGGGTTGGCAGCATACTACTGGTGTCGATAGAGTTCCAAAGAAGGCCGACTTGGTGGGATTTGCAGTCGCTGGGCTCCGTGGCGTCGACCAAGGAGATTAAAGAGATGGAGGACGAGCCGACTGAGGATTGGAAGACCGAAGTGCCCAGGACCTGGTTGATCTAGTCGACGTGGAGGCGGTTTCTTCATCGATATATGGGATGGCAGACACTGGTCAGATTTGGGGGAATGAGATCCGGAGATTTGCGCGGGAAAGTGAAAAGAGCGCCTATAGTGAGGTAGAAGGAAGATTGCAAAGCTTCTTTCGGGTCCCAAGAAGATGTTGAAATCGTAGATCAGCAGCAATCGAAGCACATAGTCCTGCCAAGTTCGACCAAAATGAAGACTGAAGTGACTGAAGTGACAAATTGCCTGGAGGTACAACAACTGCTACATGTTAAAAAATTGCATAAAGTCATGCATCTTGAGTCGATGGACTGATCTCCCACATGTTTCCTTCTTTTGCTGGTGCACTGACCTGCCAGCAGTTTGTTGTTGATTTGTATTGGGCGAATCGCGAATCCCAGAACATCAGTCCCCTGCGGTGGCAAGAGTGTGGTTCAAACCATGCCCAAACGCTGCATGTCAGCACATTTGTCCCTACATTCACCACCAAAAAGCACCAAGTGTATGCCATATGTGCAAATATCGAGCATTCTGGATACTCTCAGATAGATTAGTCGCATCGGTTTGCACTGAATGTTGCCGTTACTTGTGTCGAAAGGTCTTCGGGAAGTCGCATCAGTTTCATGCTTCCATGGGGTTTTATAATGCTTTGAGAACATGCGACATGCAAATGATCTAGCTATTCCCTTGTTTTACGATGATTTCCACATGGGCACCTTTCTTTCAATGCTACTGGGGCCTGTAAACAGGAACCTGATGTGACCCTGATGTGACCCCGTCACATCGGGCCCCCCCCTTGCAGATTAACAGTTTTCCAGTCACCTGATGTGACTAATATTGGTGACAGTATATAGTGATGCTTTATGTTTATTACCATATATAATTACCCTATATGACCCATTCATTGCGTATGGTATATGTTCTTCATTTTCTTTTCTCTATTCATTGCGTACATTTAGGCCATCAAGGGCCAAGGGCCCAAGGGCCAAGGAGTAGACTGACTCCTTCCATATACTACCATGTAGTACCTATAGTAGTACCATGTAGTACCCAAATAAGGCCCATAGAATGACCTCCACATATAGTTGTTTGAATGACCTCCATTTTGGACCACCAACCCTGGCACTTTCCGATCAAAAAAAGGAGTCCAATGAGTTCTATCATTAGTTGGCCTTCTCGTCCCATGGCCGTTTCTCGTCCCGTTTGGAAAGCAACTCACGAACAGTCATGCAGGTGCGAATCAAACCCCACTCCAACCAAAAACATGTTCCAGCAGTCACAAAGGGGTGCTTAATGGAGGTTAGGGGTGCCCATTATCCACTCACTTAGGGACTAAACACCACCCCTTTGTGACTCCTGGTTGACCATATTTGGTGTGTTCATGATCAATATTTTGTTGACCAGTTGTTGGTTCCTTGTTCATTTTATGGCGCAGGAGCTTCATCCATGCTGCGAATCGTACATGGTTCAAGCGCCAAACCACAGTGGTCAGGGGAGCCGCAGCGAGGCCGGAGCGGGCAGAGGGAGGTCCTAACATCAGAGCTATGAGAAGTGACAGAAAAGTATGAGAAGTGACAGAAACGCCGCGACGCTTTGTTTGTTTGGTGACAGAATTGTTCACCAGTCACTTCAAACTGACCATGTTATACAATGTTGATATCCAATGAGGTTACTTGGGCCATGTTGGGCCTTTGAAGGTCACCTGGAGGGCTTTTTGGCCGTGCCATCCTGCCAAAGTGCCGTTATTTGCCTGGTACTGTTCCCTGGCCTTGGGCTGTTTGGTTCTTATAGTTTGTTCTCATGTCCTGCAAGCATGCAATTTCCTCATTGTCCTTCTTAGTTGCTAGTACACACAAGAGGAAGACATAAGAGGATCTCCAACAAAGACGCCCCGGCTTGCCTCGACCAGGACACGAGGCTAGCACCTGCGTTTCTTTGGGAAGGGACGAAACATCACTGCAAGTCTTAAACAAAAAAAAGGCCTAAAGGTCTAAAGAAAAGAAGAAAAACACAAGAAGAAAAGGATGAAAACACTGCGAGGCTTCCGGTGACATGGGAGCCAGAGGTGTTCTTCCTCGGTCTGACGTCAGGCGCTTTGGTGGAGCTCCGAACGCGTCGTTGTTTGTCGGCCTGCGAACGCATGGGCTGTTGGAGAATGCAGAAGGAATTAAAGGAACTAAAGGAGCCCAGGTGTTCAACAGACATGCTAAGGGACGCTGAGGTGTTGGACATGGGTGTCGAGGTCAAAAAGCGGGATTCGCAGCAGGTGTCGACACTCCAGCTAGCGCAACATTCGCTGGTTTTTTTGGGGGAAGGGAAAGGAAAGATGAGAAAGCACAACTCCAGTCCTGACTGAGGTTCCATCTAGTGTTGGGGGGATTTATATATATATCAGATGTTGTGATTAGTGAGGGTATAGTTCGATCATATATATATATATAATGTTACAATGTTATATATTTGAGACAACTATCAATCCAAGCCATAGATGCTTGAACTCTTTAACTCAGTTCGATGGTCATCATCCAATCAGCGGGGCAGCGTGGCAGCCGCAGCACGGCCAGGTGCTGACACGGTGATCGAAGTACCGATCATGCGATGGGAGCACGACACAGTGTGCGGACTCATAGGTTTTCTAGCGACCATGGTGTATTGTGGTGCCTTTTTTGAGACTTCGGACGGCTTAAAGGCTGCGGGTAGATTTGCTTAAGAACAGCTTGACCATATTACACATGAGCAGTTCACATGAAGAACCGAAGAATACCAACTTTCACAAGCAGATGGGCTTATGACCCTTCGCCCGACTGCTGGAGGTATGACCCTTCGCCCGACTGCTGGAAGAAGGATCCTCCCAAAACCAATTGCAGGCGATCTTCTCGCCTCGATTTTCTCGCGAAACACGTGAGGATTGATCGTCCAATGGCTGACGTTGTTTTTCATGAGACTCCGTGGACGATGTTCCTTCTGAAACAGGGGGTCGGGGTCAAACTGAAACTGGAGGTTTGTCCTACTTTCTATCCAAATGGGTGTGGAGAGCCGAAGACAGAGACTTCATTTAGGTTTGGTCGTTGTTAGGTTTGAGGTCCGGAACAGGTTTGGACCTCTATCCATCTCCTTTTGTCACATTGCAATGGGCGGCAATGCCTACATCAGAGATCCCCTACCTACCTACCTACCTGCCTGCCTGCCTGCCTAGCTGCCTATATACCTACTGTGCCTACCTAGCTGCTACTACTACTTCTACTACTTCTACAACAACAAATACTATATACTATGCTAGTTACTGCTACAACTACTATATACTACTAGAACTGCTACTAATACTTTTATTATACTCTACTGGAGAGCATCAATGATGTGGCAAGCAAGCTTAGTCTTAGGTTGTTCGTTTTAGGTGCTGGAACGGGAAGAGTCACCTCGCCACGATACCACATCTCACGTCACTTGGGTAATTTGGGCTCAGTCAAGAGCACGTTTTCAGTTGACGATATTGAAAGTGGACACGTTTTCAGGTTCCCCACTCTCTCTCTCCCTCATGTACCACTTTCCTTGCGAACCCGAAAACCACGTTGCTTGCAGGATCCTGCAGAATTCCCATCTCCCACCCCAACAAAAAAATCCGTGCCTCGCTGTTGTCATTCTTTTTACATTTATGGCGCCGTGGCGCACGTGAAAACAACACGTCTCTGGTGTACCGGGGGGCGCCCACCCGAATGGACGGTCAGCAGGAACCGATGTCGGCCACCGAGTTCGGCCACGAACGAAGAGGCATCACGACCACGGGGTGACCTGACAGGACAAAGCATGCAACCCAGTGGCCGGCTGAATCCATCCAAGCCACAGACATTTGCCTTCTGAACGTTACACCGCAACCACACTCCACCGGTGAACACCCTATATTTGGAAAGGGTAGGATGGCAATGCCGGGAAGGAAACTGGCCCAACCAAGCTCTCGCAACCTGCAACAAGTATTGCCCCAATGCTCTTGAACTCTCCAAGAAGACAAAGGGCTTACCTACAGGTTGCCCATCCCAACTGGTGTGCCCAACCTTTTGAAGGTCATGCATACCGGCACGCAAGTTCTACAGTGAGATCAACAGTTCGTACCTGACCAGAGACACAAGTAGCAAGTATGTTCGTACCAGAGACACGTGCGTGATTGAAAGAAGAATTGTTTAGACCAGGCATGCCTCATTTATTGATGGAGTGGACCTCTTTGACAACAAGCTCTTTGGCTTGTCGCTCGCAGAGACCAAAGGCCACGCACTCCGCGAGACGCGAGACCGCGTCTTGACCGCCTGTCGGCCTGTCGAATTCGGTGAACGTTTGCTCAGCGGCTCAGCGTGAGTGTTTAGTAGGAAGCATGGAGAAAAAGAATGAAATGTCAATCCTCCTTTCAGAAGAAAACACGGTGGATATCAGTGGATATTACAAATATTAGTACATGAAAAGATCAATCTTCGGAGTCTTTGCCGCAGATGCTCCCAGCGGAGAAATGCGAAGAACTGATTTGCATCGCCTCAATGGACATTCCTCAAAAAAAGGGGATCAACTTGGCTGGCTGACTAGTCTTTTTGCCTGCCCTCTTATCCAACAATCATGGAAGTAGGCCAGTGAGTTACTAACATGTTTAGATCCAGATGGCCAAATTCCCAATTCTAAGCCTTTGCAGCCCTTGCATTAAATAGGCAGATGGCATCAGATGGCCACGCAGCGTCTGCACACGGCACAGACTTTGCGGTCAGGTATGGATCCGGGGCAGAGGCTTGTCTTGGAGGTCACATACGACTCTCTCTACAGGAGCCGGTGCATGGAGCATTGAGAGCACTCTTATTTGATCTTATTTGATATGATGGCATGAAACCGCCAGAACGGATTTGAGAGACAACGAGTCTTGAGATTGCAATTGTCCGATTGTTGGATTTGAGATTCTTTGTAGGATTGCGACATTGATATGGCAAGTCTGGAGACAGCAAGTATTGCAATTAACAGCAGTAACAAAATCAGAGCACCCAAAGATGAAAAAAATTGGACGCCCGCACAGAGGGATCCTTGTCTCAGATATAAGATTGCTGTCAGGAGCGGAATGAAGAAAAGTAACTTGATCAACTCCACCGTCGGAATGTACGTCTCGACCTTGGCGAAATCGCCGCTCAACCACTCCAGCTGCCTCTTCGGCAGCTTTGGGTGGGCTTTGCAAATGTGGTCTCACCATGTCGTCTCGGAACCCCCAGCTCCGCCGATCGGTCGGTCCATGGATCGGACCGTCTTCCTGCGCGGGCAACGAGGTCGGCACCTCACAGAGTGAATGGAACCAAGCGGAGAAAGCCGCCGATGCCCGGGGAGCTCGGCAAACAGCGAGACGCGAGGGTCGGAAAGGGATCATGTTTCTGGGTGGGAAAAGGATCAACAGAGGAGGTTGGGTTGCCAATGGGTCTTTATGGCATGGAGCTAATTGTTCAGAGTGGGTTTGGTGGGTTTTGATATACTCCCGAGGTGCTAGCGGTGGAATTTGCGACTGATCACACTGTGAAGTCTTGAGCTTTTGACGGTCTACACCTATAAGTTCTGGTCTTAAGGTTTCGAAGCTTCGTCTCGACGGAAGGACGGGCAGACCCTGCTTTATGACCCTGACGGACCAGTTTAGCATCGCTTGGTCGATGCAGTCTGTGGATCTGTGGTGTGCATTCGATCGCATCCATCTCCCCAGCCAACTCCGCAGGGCTGCTGTAGGCTATAGCTCACATGTGGCTGCTTTCCCGGATCCACAAAGACGGGCGAATCGCTACGATCCGGCCAGGTGGGCATTTTCGGGGCTACGGGAGGAGCCCCCAGTATCACCGCCGGCCGTGCGCGCACCCAGCTGGAGGAAGCGGAAAAGCGCCAGGTGATGCCAGTGTGTTGGTCATGGTATGGTCAGTATCCTTGGATTCTTCTGGGCAAAATCCTTTTTGTGCTATCCCTGAAAGCAAAATTCCCAGGAGTCTTTTGGCAAGCGGCTACCTCTTGATACATCGTTTGTTCTATATGCAGTTGTTCTTATGAATTTAAGCTGAGAAGAGGATGCTTTTCGTGAAGGACCACCGGACCTAGATGGTGGTGCTCACTTTGGGCGACCTCTGGCAAGGTCAAGATCTGTTGTCATTTGGCACCAGGCACCCACGAAGTCCCACGAACAGAACCGAACAGATACTGTACATACCGTATTTAGCATTGCGCTCTCATGTTCCTTGCATAGAACCCCCCCATCAATACAGTGAACGAACGTTTTCACAAGTCAAGAAGTCCCGCATTTCCCTGTAGAATGTTCACAAGACACGATACTTATCTTAGTAAGATTTGTATCGGCACTTTGTCAGTCCCCACACCTCAATCCATGATCTTGTTTCTCGTCCAAACTCTCACTCGCTCCGTGGAAAAAAAAACGAAACCAGCGACAAAAAAAAAACGCGCTGGTGGTGGTGGTGTTTTCACAAACCACCGCGGACCACGGACTCCAGGCTTGAGCTTTTGCTTGGGCTGCAAGGGCGCCTCTTTAGCCATTGACACCGAGGATCGCGCGTCGGTCTCGCGTCCGGAACACTGGGTCCGTCGGATCAACATACCCATGCGACCGCCGCAAAAAGAATGAGGTTTATTGAATAATTGGACATATGTTAAAACAAAGCTTGAAGATCCCACGAATTGAATTGCAATGATGTTGTTTGTGGCTCAGTGCACCATACAGCCAGCCAAAGTCGACCAGCTTAAGGCAGATTGTTAAAGATTACAGTATGTTGACTCTAGGCCAAAAAGACTCCATCAGAATCAAAAGGCATTTATTTTGAGACCCAAACAGCCCTTTGAGTCCTAGACCTACTGGGGGTCAGGTATGTAGCAGAGATAAATGTAAGGTCCGGATGCGAGAGCCGCGGTATTTCTCTCAATGCTCAACATTCAATGGGAAGATAAATATGATAATTAAAGTGAATTCTCTGAATTCATGTGGTGGCAACAAAGTTTCAAGTGAATCAAGAGGTCATTTGACGTTCAAATGTGAAAAGCATGGGCGTTGATATATATATTTCTTTTTTTCCCCAGGAGAAAGGTATCATTTCTTCGATTTGTTGTGGTTGGAACTGCAAGGAAAAAACATCTTGGAACGGTGCAGGCTGATTGTTGAATTGCCAAATTGAAGTTCATCAACCAAAGATGCGGACCATGGTTCTGAGCCTTTTTGGTAGCTATTCTTGATTGAATCAGCTCCCCCCAAAAAAAAGAATGTTCAACAAGAACACATCCGCCCTATGGAACCACATACCCTCTGAGAATGTGATTAGACACTCTGTTATTTTTGGGATTGTGCAGTTGTACCTTCTGAGAAGGTCAGTGGATCATAGTGGATCCCTAGATATCCAAAGGGCCCTAATCCGCCCCCCCGGCCAATCTTCTTCGGCTTTCCAGGCGGCCTCTGGCCTGTCTGCGGTCTTCTGGGCGGCTGAGTCCGTCGAAAAGAAGGGCGCCGGACACATCCAGGAGCCGCTTTCACGCCGACGACCGGTCCATGATTCGGGGTAAGGTGAAGCTCTTATGAGATCATTTTTGCTTTGACAGACATCAAATACTCGAAAAAACAAAGAGGGGTGGCTACGCCACCCATGGGGCGACCCAGGAAACCTCGTGGCTACCGACCTGATGACACAGCCATTGGGAACGAACACGTGAACGAACACTGACGCTCTGAACTGGGAATCCAGCGCCAGGCAGCTTGATCTGCTTTTAGAGAGTGAGACCTCATATTATAAGTGGGCCTTCCACAATTCCACAATACCTGGACCCTCCAAAGTACTCTAGAAAATGGGACATTGCCCTATAAAAACAGGTAGGTGGCACTCCGAAAGGCGCAAGTTGGTGACCAAACACTTCCCTCGTTTGGGATCAAAGCTTTCTGTAAATTGCCTATCCCAGACACAACCCATGGGACTGCCATATACCTACATTGACCAGTCCCATGGGTTGTGTTTGGGTATTGATGTTTGCCTTTCTTTCGCTTGAAGAGCCGACCGTGGATCGGGGGCACACCCAACAAGTCTGAATGGATCATTGGGGGTGTCCCTCACCAAACGCGCAAAGGAATTTCTTCCGCCCATCCGCTTCCGCTTCCGCGCCGAAACCAACCGACCGCAAGGAAGCGGCCTGTGGAATTGGTGTGCACTTGTGCCTCGCCAAGGCCCTCGGCCCAGCGGGCGACATCGCATACGTTAACTGCCAAAGTCGAAGAACGAAGAGGTTCTTGGCCCCCTTGGAATTTGACCGGTTGCAAACACAGTTGGCCGGAAGCAAGGAGTTTTCACCTGACTTCGAGATTCCGGCCTGGGTTTGTATGCCATGTGTCCCGTCGTGCAATTCTGGGCCCCAACCACTTCCTTCCACGCCCTCCTCACGACCTCCTTGGGCTCCGGCTCCAGGCCTGGTGGCCTGCGCATACCACTGCGGGCTTCCTGTGCCCTGGTGGTCGATGTTTCACTTTCGACTCCAGTGCGCAGGGCCACGTGAGGCGCCGCGAAGCGAGAGCACCGCGGAGAGATGGGTTGAGGTTAGGCCGCACCGCAGCTGGGCGCGGAAGCAAGGGCAGAACGTGAGGTGTTGGATCCACAACTTCTGGGATCATGTCGTGTTTTTACAATGGTTTGCACTCCCGAAAACCTAACATGAACCCTGAGAATGTGACCCGGAAAGATTGGTGTTTTTCCTCTAGTTAACCAGTGGTTTTCAAGGTCCATGTTTCAGTTTTACACGGATCATTTCATTCGTTCATGATCTTTCATGTGTGTTTCTTCTGTCAACGTCTCAAAGTGTGTCGTGACTTTAACGGCGAGAGGCACACAGCGAATCTGTACGTCGCAAAGACATACCGGAAGGTGTCTTGTTCTCTCACCAAAAGGTGCTCTCCGTTTGGGCGACGGCTCGGCTCTCCGTTGGGGTTGAGCGACACCGCGTCTTCTCCCTGCATGGGGGACTTGTGTATAGTTGGACTTCTCGGGGACCCCGGATGAGCGATTCCTCATTGTCTTCATCCATTTGACATCCATTTGACACCCCTTTTTGAAGGACCATGGCCATGATCTGTGATGATCTGTGCTTCTTCCTCGTTCGATCGACTCCTCGTTCGCTTGCCTGGTCTCACGCCCTCCCCTTCTTCGCCCTTGTGCGCCAGGTCGGAGGGTGTGGGCACTATGGTGCTGAAGTGTCAAGAGAAGATGGAAGCAATGGAGGTGCGGCGGAAGTGGAGACCCCAAACACCCAGGGCAGTTGGAGACCCCCCCAAAAGAACCACCGAGTCGACCGAGTCGAACGAGTCGACCGAGTCGTCTGAGTAAACCGCCCTAGTTCAGGCGTTTTGGGTGGAAGTTCTCGGATGGTTTGGTGATGTTTGGTGAGTAGTTATTGGAGTTCATGAAGATGTTCAGGTCTTATTCCAAGAGTTGATGGTACAGTATGAAGAAGTAGCCTTTTTATGGCGGTCAGATGCGAGCTCGCATGAATTTTTCTTGGTAGGGGGCAAAGCTGTGATGAAGTAAGTGCAAGATCCTTGAGTCAATCATCCTGATGTCAGGGTGATTGGTCTATCAGATCTCAGAAAGATTGGCTTGTGCTTACACCCACGGTCCAGAAGCTTTGGACGGATCATTGTGGAGACATTGTTCCATGCCGTTCCATGCAATTCGGATCATAGACCCAGAAGAATGGCTTCTTAATTCCATGTCTTTTCGACGTCGACGAGAAGTACTCCATGTGAAGCGTGGAGTAGTGCCGTATGTCTCTACGACCCATGGGACTGCCATATATGCCGATCAATTGACGCCCAATTGACGCCCAAAACCACCCCAATGGGGCGACAATCCTATGGCAGTCCCATTAGTCGTGTCCGGTCGTGTCTGGGTATGTCTTGCATCCCCGAATTGGTGGACGCCGTACCGGTGTGAAAGCACACATCCACCGATGTACCGATGTGTTCGGTCAGGTGAAGGACGATCAGTTGAACGTCGGCACACTGGTGGGTGGAGCCACCCAAAACAGTGGCAAGAGCGCGGGAATGTGGGGGCGCCCCAGTGGGACACCGAGGTGCCCCGGAAGGGGGGGGGGGGCAGGTCTCATGGGTCGACACGCCGACCCGCCGTGTTCTGCCAGGCTGCCAGCTGTTTGTGGTTCTTTTTGCAGGAAGCACAGGTGGAGAAGTGCTTTCATGAGTGAGAGGATCCGTTTTTCATAGCCTCTCCAACAATCCATGGATTCCATGGGCCGGGAAGTTTGGAAAGACCATGAGATATCCTCAAACTGGGGAAGTGAACTCACTCCACATCCAGGTAGTTGTTGCAGGTATCTAGTAGGCAGTTGTGGTGTCTTTTTTCGACGTTTTAGTGCGTTCACGCACCGATGTTCTCAGGAGTGCTCCAAATGGACCAGCAGAGCAGGCGGTGCTGATTGAGGTGACCTCCGGGTGACCGGGTGTGATCGGCGCGTGGGTCGAAACGGTTTCGATGAGAACGCATCATAGGCGCGTCCCAGCAAATGCTATGAAATGCTATGAAATGTGTGTGTTTTTTAATGTTTCAACAAGGAAAGTATCGTCTAACTCATAGTATCTCCTAGTTTTGGCATGGCCGAAGAAAGCCAGAAGAGCAACACATTATGATGTTATTCACCTTCTTTTAACTTGGCTGCATGAAGGAACCACCAAACATCACCAAGCCATTGCCTTGGCAAAAGAAGAAGTCGTGCAAGCCAAGGAAAACATGTGTTGCGCGTTTGGTCGTCCAGACCCTATGAGTCAGCTCCGCGACGAGTCAGCTCCGGGGCGAGGCCTGCCGCAAGTCTGGCATCATGGCCTTGGATGTGGACGTGGTGGAGTGCCATGGTTCAGGGCGTTTCATCGCAGATGCCGTGGAGGCGGCGGCTTCCGCCCGATCTTTTGGTGATGGTGGGTGTTCGGAGGCCAAACGCTGCTTTTTTTGGTGGTTTTCACTATTGAATCACGTGACACTAAGATGTGATACCTCCCAACCAATGGGGTTTAGTCTGTATAGTTTTCGTTTTCCCGGCGGTTTTGGGGGGATCTCCCTAGTTCAATTGATCACACACCCTGTCCTGCTTTGCAGTTGAATGATGTTTGATCTAATGATTAATGGACTGCTGTAATAATACTGTAGATTGCATGGGCCACGTTAATATACGCCAGAGCTTGCGAAAACCCGATACCAAACCGGAGATGCAAACATGTTGCAACAGACTGAAGCATCAAAGATCTGGGAACCAGCAGACACCAAATCCACAAAACATAAAACTTAACTTAAAATCCAAGATTGTCGCTTCCAACATGGTGGCCTGCACTACTATTACTTACATGTCATACTTGTGCACTACGATTGAATGGTGGCCAGCTTGTTTTGCATACGGGTTATACCAACACGAACCGCTCCCTGTGTGGTTCCCCATTGCATAAAAGACAATTAAACAGTTCCCTTGCAAAATGAGACCAGGCTGCTTCTTGTGGTCGCGCACTTCGTGATGGAGCAGATGCAGATCAAGATGCCGAGATGCCGGGACTCCCAGCCTCGTGACCCAGGTGACCAAACAGGGCCTCGTTGACGCAGCGGCCCAGCGGCCTCGTGGGGTGCCGGCGCATGGCCAGAGCCATTTTGACGTGGAAAATCTTGAAGTGGTGGGATGGTGGAGGTCTTGTAGGCCGGCCTAAACAGGCGTGCGTTCTCAGTCATTGGATCTTCAGGATCAGTGCGCCGCGGGGCGGACTGGACAGACTGCAGCTTGCAGTGCAGCTTGCACTGCATAACTCCAGAACAGTGACGTATTGTTATTGTTGGTGGCATTATGTTTGATAGCTTAGAGGTTTAGTGGTTCTCAACTTCTCAACCCTGCAGTCTTTGACTCGAGCACTCAACAGTCATTTCGCAGCCCGCTCCCCGCAATTCCAATGACCATGAAGATGATCGCAGCTGCTGCCGGCGCCGCGGCGTTCCAAGGGCTTGCAGGACTCTTCGCGTCACTTGCAAGGGCAGCATGGGGCTGGCAGATGACAGTGCCCACCGATGCTGGCTTCACTTGCAGTGAAGGCACCACCATTGGATGTGCGATGGGTGGCCCAACTTGCATGGACTCCAACTTTACTTGCACAGTGACGGCAGATACTGGCAAGACTTGCGATGTGATGACCACAAATGTTGTGTGCTCCATTGCGGATGGTGCTCAGAACTTTGTGCCGGACTCCACTAACCCAATGTGTGCCCAGATGGCTGGGGATCACTACAATAACGCAAGCTTGTCTTGGAATCCGGTTCCCATGTGCACCAACGGCACACAAGCCACATCCGATTCCAGCATGAAGATGGTTGGCTTTGCTGCTGCATCGCTCGCGACTGCTCAGCTTTTCTGAGTGCCTTTGTCAACTTGCTTTGAGCTACACAATGACAATCCTTTTTTTCCAGACATTTCCAGACTAAATTTTCAGCAGTGAGTGCTAGCGCTAAGCTGCCAGTGTCTTTCCTGCCTTGCTGTTTGCTTCAGCAGTCTTAGTCTGTGGTTTGACTGAATGCCCAACACGGCAAAGAGAAGAGCATCACGTGTACCGTGATTGCCACGTGTTGAGTGCGGTTACCAGCCCCACTTCAAGGTTGCAAAACAGGCACGACTTGTTAATGGAGTATCGGCACTCATGGATCCTATACGGATGTTATTGTGAGTAGAACGAGTCAAAATGTGAAATAGGCTTCGTTGCTGCAGGTGGTTTGCAAAACTCCAGAACAGTGATGTATTGTTGGTGGCATTTATGTTTAATAGCTTAGTGGTTTAGTGGTCTTCGCGTCACCTGCAAGGGCAGCATGGGGCTGGCAGATGACAGTGCCCACCGATGCTGGCTTCACTTGCAGTGAAGGCACCACCATTGGATGTGCGATGGGTGGCCCAACTTGCATGGACTCCAACTTTACTTGCACAGTGACGGCAGATACTGGCAAGACTTGCGATGTGATGACCACAAATGTTGTGTGCTCCATTGCGGATGGTGCTCAGAACTTTGTGCCGGACTCCACTAACCCAATGTGTGCCCAGATGGCTGGGGATCACTACAATAACGCAAGCTTGTCTTGGAATCCGGTTCCCATGTGCACCAACGGCACACAAGCCACATCCGATTCCAGCATGAAGATGGTTGGCTTTGCTGCTGCATCGCTCGCGACTGCTCAGCTTTTCTGAGTGCAAATGTAGCCTTTGCAACTTGCTCAAAGCTAGACGCAAGGCATTTTCCAGATGAGAGAGTTTTCAGCAGTGAGTGCTAGCACGAAGCGGCCAGCATCCTTCCTGCTTTCCTCTAATTCAGTTGTCTCGGCCCTTTTCCAGGGCTCTTCGTCGTTACCCAGATCACGCCAAGTTCAAGCGCAAAATGGTATCGGTTTCATGCAGTGCAGGAAGTGTTGTTGAGTTGTCAATATCGTTCACATTTGAGTCTCACTATTCCTGAAGATATACTCCGTATCATGTTTGTTATACTATGTGTTTTCCCTACATTTCCAGCTGCAAGCAATGGTTAAAGTTGCATCACAGACGCATGCCTTATTTAATTTGCTTGACATGCCTTGATCGTGTTTTCCGCCAGGGGGTAGAGGTGCGCATTGTGTTGGTCCATTGATGTCCATTTAGTGTTCCACATTCACCCTGAGGGTCACATTGTCTATTCCAGGGATGGACTTTCATATGTGTGAAACCTTCGTATTTTAAAGTGGCGCTTTGGACCGTGTCTGGGAGCTATCAGATGAGAAGCCCGTAACTTGGTCCTCCTTGTGCCGGAAGTGCAACCTGTGAGGCTGCAGCTGTGCAGTATGAAGTCGAACATTGGCAATTGCATCGAGACATCCGGCATTGCCTCCTTGATCAAGACTTTGCACAGCATCAGGCGGGGTCAACACGTGGGTGGAAATGGACCAACACCAAAACGATCCAAAACGTGTTGTAGGTTCCTATGAAATCATGAGTTCTCATGAATTCGTTGGAGGGAACTTGATATGTGTGTAATGTGTATGTTTAGTTTTCGGGAGCCGTGCATGTGTTTTTGTTTGTTCAGCCGGCTGAGTGTCTGTAGGAGTGGAGTGTCTGTAGGAGTGAAAGGAGCATGGCACACAGTGCCGCGCTGCCCCGACGACGGATTTGTTATTTGTCTCCTACTATAGATATCCTGCATATCCTCATATTGTGCAATTTCCCAGTCACGAGGACTACAGCAGGCATTAGGCATTACTGGCCATTAGCATCCATTAGCATGTTATGTCATTACAAGAGTCACACCTCACAAATCCCCACCATTCCCTGCCGCATTTGGCGGTGTGGTGTTTTTTCACACCGACCAACCGGGTAGATGTTGCGCCAGGTGGGGCATTGTGTGCGCCAACAACCACTTGAACCAGCTGAATCCACATTTGGATCTTTCGAGCTGTCCGTCGATCCCTCAGTCACTCAGTCACTCCGCAGACCCGACCGCCGGTCCCAATTGTGGTCCTTCAGCTGAGCGGCCTCGTGGGCGCGGCTTCTCCTCGGAGGCCGAGGATAGGCTGAGTCGCCGTGGAGAGTCGGCGTCACCGGCTGGGGGAGAAAACATGGGGCCCAATGTGGAGGCGGATAGGAGCGGATAGGAGCGAACTTCGAAGGGAATTTGACACGCTTTGACGGTGTGGAATTTGACACTCTGAAAAAACGTTTTCGCAAGTCAGACTCAGCAAACATTCGAAGACGCTTAATTCAGAATGCCAGCACTTAGTGTGGCTGTCAGGCAAAACCCTGGAGCCCCAAACCCTGGTAGGTTGACCTACCTGGTAGTCTATTATGGGCATTTTCAGTGGTCAACTAAGGATCCCTCCCTGGTTTTGACCCACAGCCATATCATGCCATATAACCGACGGATCATCTCAGCTGCAACCGCGCCCCAAATAAGATCATCCATCCACCATCGTCCCGTCTTCGGGCCGGCTCTCACCGGCCACCGTTCACCATCCATCATCCATCATCCCTCCATCGTCCCCCCCCTTCTTTGGGCCGGCTCTCACCGAGGTTGTTGATGTGTACGGAGCCCACCGAGCAGAAGCTCTCCGCCGTCTTCATGGGTGTCTCCGCTTGGGGCTTCGGCGGCACCAACGTCCGGGTCCCGCAGCGGGCGCAGCGGGCGCAGCGGGCGCAGCGCTCCGGTGCTCGGGTGCTCGGGCAGAAAACCGAGAGGTCCTCAGGAATATTCGAGAGGATATAGAGGAAAATAGATGGGTCATACGGTCATACTGTAGTATGGAAAATCTAACAATATATGGTTGCTCAATGTGTTTCATGTGTTTCATGGTTTGTCCAAGCCCAAAAATGGTCCACTTCCATGATTGTTGCAGGCAGAGTAACTGTTTTGGGGGTTCGAAGTGACCGGGCACCGGTGGTTTGTGAGAACGTCACGCGACCACTTGGATGGAGTGTGTGTGTGTGTATCATGTGTAAACAGGGGTCATGCAAAAGAGGGGAAGCACAGCTCCTGAGGAGTTCCGAAGAATTTCGTTCATCCTGAGATCTTCCGTTCGCTTGCAACGTGACGTGACAAATCCCTGCCTTGGCTTCATGGGACAAGATGGCCTCCATTCACCCCAAAAGCCACCAGTCACTTGGGCGGCCATGGCAGTCTCATGGAGCCCTTTCAGCGAGGTGTTTCCTCCGTGTTTCACCACCGCAAGCGGCTTCGCAGCGGCACCACCGTTCCTGCGCTGCTAGGTCCATATGCACTGCTATGGTGGAGTGGATGAGGCGAACGACCCGAAACCGCCGATTCCGCGGTTCGCAGCGCCAAACCGTCCAGTAAACCCCATATGGGTTCGGGACCCCGGGAAAGTGCACGCGTGCCGTGCTCCTTTTTTGTTGTGTTTGGGAGAGATGTGGAAGATGGCATGAGAAGAATGCATGCGTTGGTTCCCCCTTGTTTTCGAGGAGTTGACGAGTTTGGTTCTGGTGTTCTTCACACGTTCTTTTTGTTCTTTAATTGTTTCTTTGAACCAGGAATGGCCCACCTTGTTGATGGGTGCGACATGTTTTATGCAGCGCCAAACAATGCCGGAGGCATCTTTGGGCCTATCATGTACTCGTATGTTAGCAAAGTCGTTTGTTCGAGGGTGCACACCATGGATCGTCCATGATTTTCCACCCATTTGATTTGTGGCACATGGATCTTGACCGAACACCTCACAACTGATCCTTTTTTGGTTCTTGGACGGCCTGGCCACGGGCCGGCGGCGCTGCTCTCTTCGTCCCCAGGAGATTCGACTTCCGCCGGAACCAACTCCACAGGAGCTAAGACCGAGGAGCGGCAGTCGACCGCCATCTCGACAGGTTGATGCGAACACGGTGATGCGACGACAGTCAACCAGACTGGCGAGACTGGTCACTCCAAGAGACGGTGCATAGTTCACCGGTCCAGTCACTATTTTTTGTCCATGTTTTCCACGTCATGCGTCGTGCCACGGGTGGGCTCAGCATCTAGCAGAACAAAGTCTTAAGTAGGTTGACCACTGCAATATATATATAATTATATATGCATGTATAGATATGGCTGTCTCGGCCATGGCTGTCTCCGCCGACGGCGGCTTCAGAGAACTCGAACCGGTGGATGGAACCGTCACGTCGCATAACCAGATCTTGGGATATCATTCATGGGAAAGTTATATCCAGGAGCATCCTGTTTTGTGTTTTTGACCTACCCTATAGTGACTTGGCGATCTGATCTATCTGATCTCATGGATGGTCAAAGGTGGTGAGTGATTAAACCTCCTGGTACTTGCTGAACAGCTCTCGATTCCGGAATTGCCTGAGCGTTCACTATGAAGAAAGTCAAACAGCAAAGCCACCAAATTTGAAACGGGATCAAACATTGTGGTGACTCTTTTGAAAGCACACCTTACTCAAATATATATATATATATAAATGCTTATATACAGCCTGGCGCAGCTAGCAAACCTTCCTCATTACATGCAGTATTTAGTGTTAAATATTGACGCATTTGATTGGTGTGTGTAATTACTGTATGTGTTAGCAAGACAAAGAGAAATACCGAAACAGCCATAAAGGTTCACTGGAAACCATCTTGAAACTGTAGCAACCCGTGCAGTGTGCACCAATCACCACATTTGCCCCCTGCTTTTTTGGGGGGTTCCAACCCCCTGGCGCGACTGATGCGCAGGGGACCCCTCGCCCGGGCTCGGCAGGCTTTCGTATTGGCCCAGCGGTGGCGGTGACCTCGGAAGCATGAGCCGACCACGGAGGTGGCGGTGGGGTTCGTGACACGAGAAGATTGGACCTTCCTGTGACACGAAAGAGAAAGGACTGAAGGGACTGACCCTGAGAGTCCCGTCATGACTCATGAACTAATTACTCCACCTGGTAGTCATCATCCACCACTACCATGAGGTTAAAATGAGTCATGACTGGACTCTCAGGGATAGTACTGACGCTGAGAGTCCTGTCGCCCTGTCATTACTCATTTTACCCTCCTATGCTAGGGGTGCATGGTGACTACCAGGTGCAGTAGTTCATGAGTCCAAACGGAAGTGACTGACACGGTATCTTAGAGCCGAAAGGAGTCCGTTGATCCTGAAAAACATACACACACACAAAGGAGTCCGTAAAAATGGATCGAATTCTCCAAATGTTGGGGCCAATCCAAAGACCCTGTTGAAGTTGCAATGTGATTGGACTTGCAAGTCGAAGATGTATAGAGTCGGCTGATGAGGTAGCTGAGCATGTTATCCAAGCTGAAGGACAAGGGAATCAAGTCTTTTGCATGTGTGCATGTGTTGCAAGGGCGTAACCATTGGAACATCCCGAACCCGAAAACTGGCGGAGCGGCGCAAAGGAGCTTTCACGGCTTCATACCGCACAAACACGACGCGGATTCTGTGTGATAACCCAACAGAGCTGGATCCATGTGTGTGTGTGTGCGTTTCCGTCAACTGGTTGATGGCGGTCAGCCTCCGAGAACCGAGTCAAAACACAATTGCAGCTTCCAGACAATGACCTGGGTTCTTTCTGAACAAGGTCCTGGTCCTTTTGACTGTCCCTTGCCCTTAATTCAATACACCATTCCATGTTGTTGGCATATGTTTCCACAATGTAATATATAGATACATTTTGTTCCATTTGCTTGAACACATGAAAAACAAGGACTCAAAAAAAAGCACACACACACATCGATGGTGCTGAAGTTTCTTCACTGGGACGTCCCGACCCGGACAACGACCCTTCCCGGAGCCCCTCCTGGCTCCGGTGGCGCAGGGGATTCTTTATCATTGGATCTTGGAGCAGCTGGACGGAGCCTGAAGCCATGGAGGATCGGATCTGCGAACCGGGACCGATGGGGATGGATGGGGTGATAGATGGCAGGTGAACCATATAGCATATAAGGTTATATAAACATATGATTAAGATAAGTTGTTGTTCTTCTTTTTTTGTGGCAGATGTTAATCTAAGATGGCAGGTGTACCTATATAGATTAATATCGTAAACATATACATTATTAAATTATGTATAATATTATATATGTCAGTGTGTCTCAGTATTTTCCATCCAAGTATGGTACGAATGTGTTCCCTTGGATGGAGGCAGTTCCCCGCCATGCGGAAGACAGCTGGTTTTAGAAGCTTGCCGGTCCCTGTTTCTCTGGCAACGTGGGCCGTTGCGGATGCGGACTGGGCAGCTTGCCACGTGGGAGACCGACACCGCGACCGGGACCCAACGGACCGAGACCGAGTCGAAAAGCGTCGTCGTTACGAAGCGTTGGACTGGGCCAGGATGAGGGTGATGGCTGCCAGGGCCTCGGAATGTGCCAAGTGTGCGGCTCGAAGCAGATGGCACCGAAGCAGATGGCCCGGAGACCGGGACGCGCGGACGGAGACCCGGCTGGGTCTCGTGGCCGTTGCTTTTTCTCAGCGATGCGAGGTTTAAAACACAGAAACAAAGAACGCCCTCACATAGGAGAGTCCTTGGTCCTTTGGCAAAGAGGTTGCCCTTCAGACCCTATAAGGTCATCCAAGACTTGGGGACGCCTTAAAAACCTGTAAATCTCATTGCCTGCTGCAGGTTACGGCTATACCCTTGTTTTGGGAGATGAGCGATGGGTGCTGGGCCACAGACCCGCCTTTTCCGCGGTGTGGCGTGTCGTTCGCCTGTGCTGTGCGGTGCGTTTCTTTGTTCAGAGATCCACGACTTAAAGAATCTGCACAGGGTTCCGAACCTTTTCAGATGTGTGTGTGTGTGTGTCAGATGCATACTTGCTTGATCTTGCTTATGGCCTGGTCATGCGCCAGGCTAAAGTGTCAAGGCTGCTGTGCTGATGGTGAATTGTTGGCAAACGAGCAGTTATCCCTCTTTGCATCCACAATTCCAAGGAGCAATTCCAGCTTCTCATCGACAACAACTATGCCAAGGCCGACTGTTTTTTGGGTGCAACTGCTTGTTTTCAAAGTATTATGTGTCTTCAACACGAGCAAACTCTATCTCACTGACACCAAGCAGCCATGTGTGTTCAAACATATCAGCGGGCAGTCAAAAATAATCAAATTAAGTTTGATTGACCAAATTTCAAAGTGACCCACAGTTCCCTTGTTGCTTATTTGCCTTGTCAGATCTTCTTTGCTTAGCTTGTCATGATCTATGTCTCATGCGGTGATTCTAAGCCGGAAGCTCACTCGTCATGAAAGACCTCTGTGAGCCGTTGAGATCAATCCCACCTGCCATATCCGGGGCTCTGGGTTGTGGGACATACCTAAATCATCCTAAATCTTCCTCGGATGGAAATGTTTGTCCGAGTTGATTTCAGATCGGAACGGAAATTTGTTTGCGCTCAAACGAATTTGCCTGAACTAGGTGCCAACAAGTCAGATATGGTGTATGAGGCCCAAATGAAGAGATTGGTATGGGAAGATGTATGTCTTTGAGAACCCAATGACCCGGGGCCGCCCGCCCTAAGCAACTAATTATATATATGCATAATAAACCAGCTCTAAAGCAACTACTAGTAACATGTACTAGATCCGATTAATGCACTGACGCTGGCAGGGGTAAAGAAACATATAGACTGTGCGTATCGTGTAAACAAACACACTGGCAGGGGCTCCACGAAAGATGTTGCTCCCTCTCTTTCGCTTAGAGAGTCCGTGCAGGTGCTGCATCCACGGCGCTTCAAGGCTGGGACGACCCCCCACCACGGGCCACGACCACAACTGCTGGCTGGCTTTGCCTATGACGCCTATGACACATGACACACACCTTTTTTTTCAGGCGCTACTAGTGTATATGGCATGGGTGTTACTTGAGTGTAATCCGTGAAACCCTGTGTTCTTTTTGGAACATGGATGAAGATTGTGCCTTTCTTGTCAGCCTGTTTTCTGGAGGGGATCCCAATGATTAGCTTCTGAGGGGTCCTGAAACTGCTCAAAGACCCTGGGCCTCCCCCCGGAAGATTGTCCTAGTAGCCGGTTCACGGGCCAAACGTCATAGAGTGGTTGTGTCTCAAGGTCACACTCCGAGTATGGAGGCACTGGACCTTTCTCAGGCCAATCTCCCTCCAATCTCCTATTATCTAACATGTTCCTGACCTCATTTCTCAGGCCACGAAGGTCTCAGGTCATCCAGTAATGAATGAACTGACCTCATGTTCATCGCTGGATGACCGCCATCAGCGACCTCATGTTCTCCGCAATGAGACGCCCAGGCGCCCAAGGGCACGGAGGTGTACGGCCCGACGCGCACAGAGGAGGTGATGCAGGAGTCGGGTGGCGCACGGGGTTGACGTTGGACACGTGGAAGTGGACATGGAGTTCACCCGCGGTCATACCCACCGGTCACCTTGCTACGTCCTGTCTATTCTGGTCTTTACCAAGAATGATCATAGATTAATTGAAAAGCCTCCGTGATCTAAATATGAAGACTGTTATACCAGGACCCTCCAAGGGGTGCCCAATGGAAGCCTATAGGTAGTGTGGGGTAGTCCATTGGACACCCCTTGGAGGGTCCATATATATCCCTGTGCGAATTTCCTCTAAAAAATCAGACAATCCGGGTTGTCATAAAAAACAAAAACGGATGAAAATATACAGTGCCAGTCTACAACTGGAACCTGGGGGTTCCCATTCTCTATAACGCCAAGAGGGGGTTGATTTATTAGAGACTTTGGTTGTCGAGCGTTAGCTCGAGAATGGGGTGGATTTTTAGAGAAAAGAGTCTTTGCAAAGCCAGATTTGCAAATCCTAGCATGGGCTCAACACACAGATGCAGAGACCATACCAGGATCATCCATAAGCAAGCATCAAGAAGAACATGCATGAGTCGACTTTGTTCCACTCGAACTCGGACTGTCAATTCTTTAGGCCTTTTGAGCTTTTCCTTCAAGTCTCCAATGTTTTGGCAGATGCAATCTGGCTTTTGATTCTTTTAGAGAATGTTCTTGATTTTTTAGTGCCACTTCTGGATACTGAACCTGGGGGTTCCTAAAGAATTGACAGTCCGGGTGTGAGTGCGAATTGGAAGGGTGATCCATATATATTGTATTCCAGACCGGTTTCTTCTCCACCTCCGACCGACCCGGCGGGTCACGGTGACGACCATCAAAAGCTATAGCTGCTCCCTACCGGAAAGAGCGAGCGCACCGCGCTGGCCGCGCGCAGTCCGGGAGAATGGCCCAACCACCCCCCTCACCTCTCACCTCGCCGCCCATCGAATCCGGGTCGCCGCTTCTTCTCCCCAGGAGAGCACCTGGCTCGTAGACGGCCGCCCATTCACGGCCCAGATTCGACCCATTGCCGATTCACAAGGCAGGCGCCCTACCCGGGGAAGCCCGGGTGGGGGTTCGTGTGGCATGCGGTGGGATTGCGGCAGAATCTGGCAGAAGCAGGGAAAACGTGTTTTTGTTCTCTTTCGGGGACAGGGTGAAGTGGAATTCGGAGAGTTTGGGGGGGTTGGATCTTGAAGAGAGATTCGATGTGATTGGATTGATCACGTTGAATGTTTGATGTTTCAATGATCTGTTTCATGACCCAAACACTTGATCTTCGGACCTTCAACCCGTCACCCGGTCGTTCATCACCGGGTCCGTTCCTCCGTTTTCGTTCGTTGTTCGGGTCTGAGACCGACGACGGTCGGAGGGCGGTCGGTGGGTTCTTCGAAGCCCCAGAAGCATACAGCCTACTAGAGCAGCTGTACTAGGACCCACTGTCGGGGTGGTTTTGCTGGACCCCCTTAACCTCTAAGGGGCTATCAATAGACACCCCTTAGGGTGTCCTGGTATGCTTCTATATATAGTTACTATAACTAGAATAGCAAATGAGCTATATAGCGATGCACTTGCTCCGTTCGTAGCGATGGCGCTTTGTGAGTATATAGCGATGCAAGTTGTTTTTCCAATCAGAGTCGGTCGTGTGATCATGTCGGATCCCGTCACTTCAAGACTTCAGGCATCCCCTCCTTCAGTGGTTGATCCCTGGTCAGGAATCCTGCACCTGGATACGCGCGAATAACATCTGCACAGTTCTGTTTCTTCAAAATGAGCGAACTCGATCTCCCTGTGTAAAAGGTCACAAAAGAGGTCACTCCAAAGAGGTTACGACTGGAAGTGGCGCTGGTGGTCGACTTGGCGCTGTCTCTGCGTGGCCGCTTCGAGGCTCTAGCGCCTTGGCGGAACGGCCTTCGCCCATGGAGTACAAGAACGAGGCCGAGATAGAGCTGAGAAGCACCGTTTTTCTGAGCTGCAAGGATGAGTGAGACTGAGTGAGTCGGGAGTGAGGTAAGAGTATATAAAAACCTGATCGTTGGTTTTCAGGAGGGGCAGTGTCCACCTTCCACTTAATTACACCTTTTTTTGTTGATTTTTCTTGTACCCTTCAAGAGGATGATAGGCGTGGCAGGCCGGCCACCATTGAGTCATTGAGTACATCCTTCTCAGAATTCATTCACATCTGGCTCAAATCTTGCAAGGAGTGATCAGCAACCCCCTTAATAAATCTCAATAAGGTATCTATGTGAGTGTGCATGCTTTTAAGAACAAAAGCATTGCAAAAGCTGTTAGTCACTGTTAGTCTACCTGCCAGTACGGAAGGGCGCAGACAAAACCTCGCCGCCCAGGATGAAGGAATGCCTGGTCAGCGGTACCGCATTCGTTGGGAAGCCCAACAGGGCCGGGTGAACACCCATTTTCGCACGGACCATTGTTGCCTCACATGATTGTTCTTGGGATCAAACGAATCATAGTCCCGATGTTCCTAGTCCTAGTGTTGCCCCCCCGCGGTCAGTGGTCGACGAGACTCTCGATCTCAGAGGACACTTGATTGGCATAAGCACTCTAGACGATGAGGATGTAAGATATATTCATACCTGAGAAACAGTATGTTCATTTTTTTGTCATATACGGCATTTTTTTTTTTGGTCATTACGGGGTTTGCCCAAATATGGGCATATACGGTCTTCTCTCTTGGCTCAATAGGGTACCATATTCGGGTGTTCCAACGCAGTATTCGCACTAGTATGTTGGAATATGGTTACGGTGTTTTTTCAATAACATATTGAAAAAATACTAGTATCATACGGGTACCCCCAAATATGCATGCAAATATGGCAAGTATACGACCATATTCGTATACAGTTCCCATTCATACAACATAGAGTCCCCCAGAGAGATGTCCTTGCGCATATACGGCATATGCACAAAAAAAATGTTCAATACGGCTTGAGGCCATAGTGATCAAAAAAAAGTGATCATACGGGTTTCCAGGTATATATATTATATATTTATATTTGATTTGTAGAGCTGTATAGCGATCATTTGTGCGAGCCAGGCTCGCAGTTGAGTGTCCAACCTATGTATCTTCATGGTGCGCCATCGTCCCGTGTTGGACCGCCGGATGATGTGTGTTCCGATGTATGTTGAGCTGAGGTTTACATATTGCTGGAAAGTGGCGAACAGTCACTTGGGCGAAGCTAGAGGCCCGAAGTCACGCACCGACACTGTCGTTTCGGGTGTGTTGGGCGGTGTTGGCGCGTAAAAATGGTTCAGTGTTGGGGCGTCGGTAGCGGTTTGGGGGGGAACAAATTCAGGTCAGGTCTTTATGAAATAGTCGTTTAACGATCTCACATGAGTGCAGGTCAGGTATATTCGACTTCAGAGCCAATGTCTCCAGACACATTTTGTCATTGTTGGTCCACCCTCCGCTTTTACTCCTCGGTTTCGCCAGGGGAGTGGCAGTGGACCAGCGGCATTGAAGGGGTAGGAGGTGCCGCCCGCGTGGGCGACGCGCGCACGGTTCGACCTGCGTCGGCATGCGTCGCGGGTGTGGAGGTGACAAGGGCCAACTTAGTAGCGTCCTTGTCACTAGTATTAATGACCTCCACCCTAATAGCGATCGCTTTCCCCTACTAGCGTCCTTGTTCTATATTGATAGAATTGTCAAGGGCAATGTATGGCCCAACTCGGTAGCGATTCGCTGGTGAAGCTTGGCGACGTCATTTTGGATTCTCGTCGCCGCCCCCCCAATTCTTTGGGAGCCAATTTGGGCAGAGTTCCGTGACCTGTTAGCGAATTTGTAATAAAACAATGTATGTACGCGAGAGAAGTCCCCAAGAACCCCCTCAAAGGAAAATTGACCAAAAGCAATTAATTGGATGCGGGATGGAGAGCGGATCTCCCTAAATCAACTGTTTCATCCGTTGAGTACTTAGCTAGTCTCGTGAGCGGAGTACATTGCTCGATGCCCGAGTTCGCTTTGTTTCAGACCATCACCGAGTTCTTGGTCTTGAAGGGACCCCAAGAGGTTCGCCCCTGGCGCAACACGGATCCAGAAGCGACAAACATATGTTTCACCACCAAGTATAGACGGTTGAAAGTCCGGTTGAGTTCAACCCCCCCTTCACTTGGATGGCAAAAAACCTCTTCATAAGGATGGGGCTTTGTGAATCAAGAGTCTACATTCCCTTGTGAACAAAAGCGAGGCGTCCATGCCGTAGCGCCAGTTCGCTGCCGTCTAGACGCCGCGGCGCTTCCACCGGCCTCGTCCCTGGAGCGTTCCGCCCCGGCGTCAGTCCCACCAGTGAGGGGCGCCTCAGTCTGCTAGTGGACTTGCTTCGTGCGTCTTCGATGAAAGATCCAGCAGCAGTGGCGTAAGATCAAAGAACCTGGGTTAAAGTAACTGGTTTATGTCGTTTTTGGATTTATGACTTGTTCATGCTTGGTCCACCTGCTTTTGAGGTCATAAGCCTCATAAGCTGGCCTGTGAAGTTGAAGACCATGTTGTTTTGACAGCTTTTGAAGACCATGGTCGAAACATAAAGACAGCTACTGCTTCTGAGTTTGGTGCTTTCAAAGGAACGCCGTTTGGCGTCGGCATGGTCGGCATATGGCCATTCACGGCTGACTTTCGGTGAACGGTGGAGACTGTGGCGAAATGCACTTGGACTCAGAATCAGATGAGTTGGACTGACCCCGAGACCGTGGAGAGCCCCCAAGCCATGAGAGCAAGGGTCTTTGGTCTATTGAAGTCTATTGCCCTTTTAACTCGAAGGTGTGTGTGAGCAGAGTCCCACTCCCGATGTGATTTGTCCCTTCCACCTCGATTTGAGCCTCGCGGTCTTCTTTTGGGCTCCAGGTTTCCAAAGCTGATTTGCTTTTGAGGAGAATCTCAGAGAGAGGAAGCCGAAGCACGTCTTGTTTAGAGCAAAGACGAGCTCCACCAGAGTATAGCCCACTCTCTGAAAGTTCCCAGGACTGAGAAGAAGCCTCACGGTCACGGGCCGAGCAAAAGTAATGAGTCACAACTGGTCCAAACTGGTGAGTCCAAAGAGGGTCCCTGTGCATGGAAGAAGTGACACACACACATATATATATATATATGGAAACCATGCAGCCATAACGTTCGCAGTGCAAGGAACTCGCAGTCTGAACAACGACCATCAGCTCAAATCAGCAACGAAAAATCAGTTCGCTAGCCCCTCAGCCCAACACACCTAGCCCTGAAACACACCAAGTCGCCCAAAGAGTTGCCTAATCTTGCGGTGCCTGCCGTCGTCTCCGAAGAGTTCCGCGGCTCTCCATGGGATGGACGAGCGGCTCGAGGAGGACGGCTTGGAATGGGGCCGCGAGGCGTGCTTGCGCTCGCGGCGTGCTTGCGCCACGTGGTGTTTGCGCGGTCTGCGAACGACGGTGGTCTGCCACGGCAAATGACGTCAAATGACCCATCACATGGTCCACTAAATAGATGCAGTAAATATAGAGATGGTTATGATGGTTGATGATGGTTGGGTTTCCGACTGGTGCAAGTTCCTGGGCTTCGAGTTTCCTCTCAGCGTGGTTGAGGTCTTGCCATCCAGCCTAGACGATGAGCTGGGAGGAGAGGGCGACGCGGCGACACTTGACGCTTCAACTCTCAAATCAAGTCTGAAGAAGGATCGAGAAGTGAGTCGGTTTCACAAGTCGCGCAAGTTGCATCTCACAAGTTTCCGAGAGTGGGGAGATGGATGGATATGAGAATTATTAGACAGATGACAGAAGCTGAGATGCGGCTCATCAGAAGGGTTGATCAGGACCCTTCCGGCCGGATGTCCCTGGACGGCACGGCGGCCCAAACAAGTGGTCACATCCCAACAAAAACAAAAACATAAAATCAACATATCCAGCAGCAGACCATGCCATACCATGCCCAGATCCCGATGGTGGAACTCATCGGACATCGATGGATCCGCGCCGATCCGCGACTGAGGCCTGGCTCGGCGCCTCCAATTCTCCATCCCGACCTCGATGGCCGGGCAGGGGATGGTGGGCGCGAGATGCACGTGAGATGGTTGGGGAGGTGACTGGTGCACCTGATCGAGACCTGGTGGGCTGGTGCAGGCAGGTCCTTGAGGTAATTTTGAAGGTAGTGGCCAACATGAAATGTTCGTGGCCAACGCATGTTTGGAAAGGGTAGGATGATCCTGAAGTGATGCACTGCTCCCCAAGCGGAAAAGGCCTGCTGTGTGTACCAAGTGTCGTTCATGGTCGTTTAAACAGATGATCCGGTCTCTGGTCGGACCAGTGAGATGTGTTTTTTATATGTTATTTGTTTTGTTTCTATACCCAAACACTCCATGTATGGTATATTTATATACCTACATTGGGGTGGTTTGAGGGGTCAATACCAGACATGGAGTGTCTGGGATATAATACCTTCAATTAACTTGTAATTGATTAATTGCAGGGGTGATCTATGTGGATTCCAGGTACAACTTGTTCCATTGGAAGAAGGGCCTAAGGGCGTCGGCTTCCAGAATCCGTCGTAGGACTGTCTTGCACCCTTTCCTGCCTACGCTTAGCCAGTCAGCCTTAAAGCAGGTGCAAAAAAGGAAGAGGTGATAGAGGTGAGATGAGATCACCAAAACCCCCAAGGACACAGTCAATGGCCCATGACAGAACTATGCAATCCATGAAAGACTGGAGTATCTATACTCACCTGCCTTTTGGGGTGAGTTTAAGAAGTTTTGTGAAGTTTTTCGAGGGCTGTATATATTTGTATATACAAGTATTTCTAACATGAAGCAGGTGTACTCTATTTGGCTATGGCATGGATGCTGACCGGGTGACGTCAGCCGACCGGGTCGTTGAGCGACCGAGGCTTCTCCTTTCGACCCTGTGAGGTGCGGGGGAAAGGGTGCACCGCAGCGGTGGATGCGGTCCCCACAACTGGGGAGAGGGGATTGATGTTGTTGTTTTGTTTCTTTTTGTTGTGTGTTTAATCATGTTTTATCCAATTAACATGGTGTGTTTTTTTAATGTTTACTTTTTTTTTAAGGGGATTGATGGCAGAATTGGAGAAGCATGGAGAAGCTTTATGTTCATCATCTATAAATATATATATATTGACGGTTTTCCTTATGTGCGGATGGGGTTGAACTAGGTCGAACTCTAAAGAACTTGTTTCCATGCTGCTTCGGGGGAATACTTGATGCTTACCTGGTTTCATTGATCTTCAAGAGATGGATCATTTGGGTCAAAGAATCAGAAGACTGCCACAAACTACCCCTTTATCGCCCCAAAATTGGGTCTTAGGCCAAGTCTGTTTCCTTTCCATCGTCAATCTTGGGGCCTGACTTTGCTTGACACACGAAATAACCTCCAAAACATTAGTGACTAAATTGTCACTAATTAGACGCATATCAGCGGTGGGGGGCAGTCTTGGCGGCCGGATATCACGCAAGAACTCTCAGCACTCTCTCCAAAGCTCAAGCACGCTCCTTTTTCGCAGGCACGACCTGCTCGTCCCTGCTCGTCTCCAAAGGAGTATGGATAAAGCATCACAACTTCACGCCATCCCTTCCCCCCCAGATCTGCAGATTCATCTCCCCCGCGTGAAGCCGCGCTCGCCCCTAGGCCGCCCGGAAGGCCGCGCTGGGCGTGCCGCACTTCGATGTGCCCATCCGCCCGCGCTCCGCGCCGACTCACCAGGCCGGGGCCGTGCGCCCGGTGGAAGAGCCCCGAAAGGTGAAGGCCCAGGGTTTTGTTGCAGTATGTTGTAGTGTTATAGTCTATGTTGATATAGTTGCTTATGTTATAGTGTTCTGTTATGTTAGTGTGTCTTATGTTTTGATTCAATGATGGTGTTGGATTGCTTCTACTAGATGTTTTTTTGGGGCGGGGTTCGACATGGTTCAAAAACAACACATGTTGAGGTTTGAGCCAGGGGCCAAGAGTTCTGGTGGAGTACTCTTCATCCAGTAAATGGAACACTTTGACAAGTTCATCCATTGGTGTTGTTCTGAACAGGTCGACAATTGCTCTGAGCCAAGATGCCTATATCGTTTGCTACCCTGTTTGATGGTCATGCTCCGCATCATGATTTCCTGTGCAAAATTCAGTCGCCTCCCACGGCCTCAAAACCTATGGCTTCCCCCCCACTTCCATCCGCATCGGAGCGACGGTGAAACCACCGTCGTTTGAGAAAAAATCACCGGAAACCAGCGTCCATCGCCATGAAACAGGGAAGCCCTTGGCTCCATCGACCATGGGAGTCAGTGACCAAAGACTGGTGCTTTAGGGAAGTCAATGACCAAGACCCATGGTGCTCTCCCGACATTTGACCAGGACATTCTGGATCTGCTGGATGACGAGGTCCGCGGAAGATTGGCACACTTCCCCGGGTGGGTTGGGGGGGTAACCATGTTAAATATACTATACGTCAATAGACACATTTAGAACATCTCATTATAGATGTTCCAGTTGCAGATGTGGTGCCAAAAGATCAATTACTGCTTTGTATAGAATAAATGACCTCCATGAGAAATCTTTGCTTTCGCACCAAAATGGCCCTCGAACTGAGTCACGCACACCCTTTCGCACCAACAAAAACACCGCGCACACCGGTACGGCGTTACGCTGAGCACCGGTACGCGGAGCACAACCTGCTCCGCACCTTTACTCCTCCGCAGTTTCTCCGCAGGCCTGGCGCTTTGACTTGAAAGAGAAGGATTTAAACGGTCTGTACCCAATGCAGGCGGATTCCGAGTCGTCCCCCGCCGCTCCGCCGTACTCGTCGCCAGCAGACGAGTCGCACCGGGTGACGGAGGGGCGGAGTCGTGCACCGGGTGCACCGGGTGTTTCGTAGGTTGATCCAAGCAGGTGATGGACATGTATGGACGACTTGCAGTAGTTGCAGCACTTGCAGTACTAGAGTCACTAGAGAGTTGTTTCTCTCTTTGGCTCCTCGTTCTGCACAGCCCAATGTAAAGAAGCTCCACGACTGGATGAGACCTGTGGTCACACTGAGTCACTGCGTAGGTCAATGTGTTCAGTCCCATGTAGGAGTGCTTTTTGGGAACCTATATTTTTTTGGGGGGGATTGGAAGTTCACTGGTCGAATTTTGCACCCGTTTTCCGTGGTGTTGACCGCTGCCAAAATCGGAGGCTCCTCCTGTGGTGCGATCACCTTCACCCCTGATGGGTGAAGGCACTGGGGATTGGCGTGATCGACTTACACCCTGGTGGGTTGTTTTTTTTGTTTGTCCATCAGTTTTCGAACATAACATATATGAATGATTATTGAATGATCATTTAGAGAAATAAGATGAAATAATTTGTGTGTTTTTAAATTTGTTTATTTTTTCCAGATACTAGCTGATACTATAGTATCATATATAATATTATATATAGTTA